CTTTGGGATAAATACCCAGAAGTGGGATTACTACATGATATAGTAGTTCTACTTTTAACTTTTTGAGAACCCTCTGTATTGTTTTCCATAGTGACTGCACCATTTTGCATTTCCACCAACAGTATGAAAGGATTCCGATTTTTTCACATCTTCACCAATACTTGTCTTTTGGATTTTTTTTTTTCTTTAATAATGGCTATCCTGACAGGTATGAGATGATATCTCATTGTGGTTTTGATTTGCATCTCCCTAATAACTAATAATAGGGAGCATTTTTTCATATACCTTTTGGTCATTTATATGTCTTCTTTGGAGAAGTCTCTATTCAATCCTTAGCCCATTTTTTTTCATCAGATTATTAGTTTTGTTTTTTTACTGTTGAGTTGTAGGAGTTCCTTATATATTTTGGAGATTAACACCTTATCAAATATATGGTTTGAAAATATTTTCTCCCATTCCATAGGTTGTCTTTTCACTCTATTGATTGTTTGTTTTGTTGCCTGAAATGTTTTAGTCTGATATAATCCTACTTGTTTGTTTTTGTTACCTGTGGTCTTGGTGCCATATTCATTAAATCAATGCCAGGACAATGTCACAAAGTTTTTCTCTTATGTCTTCTTCTAGAATTTTTATACTTTCAGATCTCGTGTTCAATTCTTCAATCCATTTTGGGTTGATTTTTTTGTATGTGGTGTAAGATAAAAGTCCAATTTAATTCTTTTGCATGTAGATATACAGTTTGTATGGATTTCTTTCTGGGCTCTCTACTCTGTTCCACTGATCTATTTGTTGGCCTTTTTTGCCAGTACCACACTGTTTTGATTATCGTAGCTATGTAATATATTTTGAAATCAGAAAGTGTGATTCCTCCAGTTTTGTCCTTCTTTTTCAAGAGTAATTTGTCTATTCATGATCTTTTGTGGTTCCGTATTAATTTTAGAATTGTTCTTCTGTTTCTGTAAAAAATGACTTTGGGATTTTGATAGGGATTACATTGAATCTGTACATTATTTGGGATAGTATGGACATTTTTACAACATTAAGTCTTCCAATCTATGCACATGGGATGCCTTTCCATTCATTTGTGTCTTGTTTAATTTCCTTCATCAAGGTTTTTGTAGTTTTCAACGTACCATTCTTTCACCTCCTTAATTAATTTATTCTTAAGTATTTTATTCTTTTTGGTGCTATTATAAATGGGATTGTTTTCCTAATTTCCTTTTCAGATAGTTTGTTGTTAGAATAGGAACATAACTGATTTTAGTATGTTTATTTTGTATCCTGCAACTACACTAAATTTGTTTATTAGTTCTAATAGTTTTTTAAATAGAGTCTTTGGGGTTTTCTATATAGAAGATCATGTTGTCTGCAAACAGACAATTTTACTTCTTCCTTTCCCATTTGCATGCATTTTATTTCTTTTCCTTGCCCAATTGCTTGGGCTGGGACCTCCACTCCTATGTTGAATAGAAGAGAATGGACATCCTTGCCTTATTCTTGATCTTGGAAGAAAAGCTTTCAGTTTTCGCCATTTAGTATAATGTTAGCTGTGGTTGTGATTAATGGTCTTTATTTTTTATTTTTTTAAAAGTATTTTATTTTATTTTATTATTATTTTTTTTATACCTACAGCACTGGTCTTCCTAAGTGGTCTCCCATCTAGAAAGTACTAACCAGGCCCGACCCTGCTCAGCTTCCAAGATCAGACGGGACAGGGCTTGTTCAGGGTACGTGACGAATGGTCTTTATTATGTTGAGATAATTTCATCCTATTCCTGCTTCGTTGAGAGTTTTATCATGAAAAGAGTATTGAATTTTGTGAAATGCTTCTCCTACATCTATTATTTATCCTTTATTTTGTTAATATGGTATTTTACATTAATTGATTTTCATATGTTGAACCATTCCCACATCTCAGGAATGAATCCCACTTGGTCATGGTGTATGATTCTTTGACATGCAATTGAATTTGATTTGCTAGTATTTTGTTGAGGATTTTTTGCATTTATATTCATCAGGGATATTGACTTATAAATTTCTTTTCTTACAGTATCTTTATTTGGCTTTGGTATCAGGGTCATTCTGGCCTCATAAAATGAATTTGGAAGTGTTCTCTCTTCAAATTTTTGCAAGACTTTGAGAAGGATTGGTGTTAATTCTTTAACTGTTTGGTAGAATTTGCCAGTGAAGCCATCTAGTCCTGGGTTCTGCTTTGTTGGGAGGTTTTCGATTTCTGATTCAATCTCCATACTAATTATAGGTCTGTTCAACTTTCTATTTCTTGATATGATTGATATGATTCTAGGAATTTATCCATTTCCTCTAGGTAATCCAGTTCATTGGCATATAATTATTCATCATAGTCTCTTATGATCATTCTTATTTCTGTGATATCAATTATACTGTCTTTCATTTATAATTTTATTTATTTGAATTTTCTTTATTTTTCCCTTAGTCTAAGAGTATCAATTTCATTTATCTTTGCTTAAAACAAAAAAACAACTCTTAATTTCACTGATTTTTTTCTATTATTGTTCTCTTTTTTATTTCATTTATTTCTGCTCTAATATATATATGTATATATTTTCTTCTTCTTCTTCTTCTTCTTCTTCTTCTTCTTCTTCTTCTTCTTCTTCTTCTTCTTCTTCTTCTTCTTCTTCTTCTAACTTTGGGCTTAGTTTGTTCTCCTTTTTCTAGTTCCTTGGGTATAAAGTTAGTTACAAAGCTATTTATTTGAGATCTTTCTTCTTTTTTAATGTAGGTATTATCAGTATGAACTTCTCTCTTAGTACCGCTTTTGCACAAGTTTTGATATGTTATGTGTCATTTTCATTTGTCTCAGGAATTTCCCAATTTTCTTTTGATTTCTTCTTTGACACAATTATTGTTCAACAGCTGTTTAATTTCCACCTATTTGTGAATTTTCCAATTTTCCTTCTGTTATTGAGTTCTAGCTTCATTCCATTGTGATCAGAAAAGATACCGGGCATGATTTTAATCTTAAATTTGTTAAGACTTTTCATGACCTAACATGGGATCCCTCCTGTGCATAATGGAAGGCAAGTATCGCTCCAGGGCTTCATGCTGCAAACCTCCCCATGGAATCTGGCTGAAGCAGGTCTCTGCTGGGACCACATCCTTGCTTAGCTTTTATATTTTCCTGTCATAGTCCACTCTATCATGAGAGCCTCCCTTCAATAGATTATATGTGCCGAAATCTCTTTCTCAGACTTGGCTTCTAGGGAAATCGACCTAAGATAAGAAGAAAACTGATGATGCAGTCGACGGAGAACCATAGCAGGGACAAATAAATGAATAAACAAACACCCCAGGCATCCTCCACCCCTGCCTTTCCAATCCAGAAAGTCTTTTCATACAACCCAGTTCTGCCTTTTCAGAGGAAAATAGTCTAATGAGTAAATGAATGAACTCAGTTAGACTTTCTAGCTGGGGACACAGCTAACTTTAATAAAATATGTCTCACACTATAACAGAAAGCATTGTAATGACTTTAGAGGAGGAAGTGATGTTTTTTCTCACTTAGGGGGACAATATCTCTTCCCTCACCCTCTGCGCCCCCCTCCCCCCAATATTCTCAAGCACGGAGAAGCAGACTCAAGAACCTCGCTGGCTCACACAGTTTTTTGCTC